AAAATCATGTACCACACAGAATAAGATGCGGTACCATATTTTCCAAAATCGGTACTATTATAAAAAACACGATTTCTTTAATCCTTCATGTATACCATGACACGTGGATCGTTCACACGTGATTTGGATAAAAAAAGTGGAACTGAAAACATATAGATAGAATATGAAGTAGTCATGTATGATGATTTCTATGAGATGAAGTGTGTCATTCAATGAAATGAAGTCTAGTAGTAGCGTTTTCTCATTAGTGTATCGAGTTTCTAACCAATTTGCGATTAAACTCAATAAAAAACATTTAAAATCTTATATAAACTAATGTCAGAGTGATCATGGGTCGTATAAACATTATTTGCGACCGAAATTCGGTCTTCTTATGTGTTCATTACAAGTGGTACTAGAGACATGATATCTGGTACTAACTCTCCATAATGTGGTACTGACTTATACTATGACTGGTACTACTTTTGTTAAATGTTGAGCAGAATTGAAATAATCAATTTCTCTTGAAAAAAGTAGGTGCTATTCGATCGAAATCAGGTACCACACAGAATAAGATGCGGTACCATATTTCCCAAATCCAGTACTATTATAAAAAACGCTATTTCTTTAATCCTTCATGTCTACCATGACACGTGGATCGTTCACACGTGATTAGGATGAAAAAAAGTGAAATTGAAAACATATAGATAGAATTTGAAGTAGTCATGTATGATGATTTCTATGAGATGAAGTGTGTCATTCAATGAAATGAAGTCTAGTTGTAGTGTTTTCTCATTAGTGTATCGAGTTTATGACCAATTTGCGATTAAACTCAATCAAAATCATTTAATGTCTTATATAAATTAATGTCGGAGTGATCACGAGTCGTATAAACATCATTTGCGACCGAAGTTCGGTCTTCTTATGTGTTCATTACAAGTGGTACTAGGGACAAGATATCTGGTACTAACTCTCCATAATGTGGTACTGACTTACACTATGACTAGTACTACTTTTTGTAAATGTTGACCACAATGAAATAATCAATTTTTTCTTAACAAAAGCAGGTACTAATCGACCAAAAGTAGGTACCACGTAGAAGAAGATGCAGTACTATTTTCCCTAAAATTGGTACAATTTTAAGGAGATGAAGTGTTGGTAGTGTTTTTTCATTAGTGTGTCAAGTCCACGACCAATTTTCAATTAAACTTAATTAAAAACATTATAAATCTCATAAAAACTAGTGTGAGAGTGATTATTTGTCATGTAAACATCATTTAAGACCGAAATTCGGTGTTTTATGTGTTCGTTACAAGTGGTACTGATGAGCTAATATCCGATACTATAACAATACAAAACTGGTACTATGAATAAAAGTAGGTACTGGTGACTATTTTTTGTTCTTTCTACAAAGTAGGTACTAATTCATCATGAACTGGTATTAAATAGAAGAATGAGTGGTATTATTTCTTGAAAATCTGGTACCATTTTACGGAATTCATTTTTTTTATGATTGTTAGAGTTGGTTGAAAAATATTAATTAATATAGATATAATTATTAATTAATATACTAAATGAATTGTTCACACGTGATTTGGTCATAAAAACGTTGTAAATTTGGTACTATTTTACAAAAATCATTTTTATTGTTCTAATGTTCGTCGAAGTTGGTACTGAAGACCCGATAATGGTACTAGAACACCATAATATCGATACTATCTTACTCTAGGTCTGATACTAATTTTGCAAATGTTGACCATAATTGAAGTAATTCATTTTTGTTTATGCTACAAAGTAGGTACTAATTCATCAAGAACTGGTACTGCATAGAAGAAGACTGTTTGCATAGAACTGGTATCATTAAAGAACTTGCACATCTTTTTTCCTTTTTACAAAGTAGGTATTCATCTCTGGAAAAATGAGTACTAATATCTCATAATGTTGGCACTTATGTAAGGAAAAATTGGTAACAGTTTAAAATACAAACAAAAATCATATTATTTGTTCCCTTTCATCCATAAACCATATTCCAAAACCATCATCCAAACAGTCTACACCTATTGTTCAAAAACAAGCCAAACATCCACATTCATAACACCTATTGTTCAAAAACAAGCCAAAAATCTACAATGAGACATATTATTCACAACACAATCTGCCATGCCCTCGGTCTGTTTTGTAAATGATCTCAATATACACCCAATGCAGCTGTAAGCATTATGATTATAGTATGTCATTTTACAAAGTGAAATTGAACTCAGGCCAATTCATTTGTCTGGAGCTGAGGAAGATAATCATACCATGATTAATTCACCCGATTCAACATGAAGATTCTCCAACCAATAGCGTCGTGGCATCTGTTTCTACTGAGCACTGAACATTTCTCTACCCTTCATAAATTATTTTCTTATTTTATTTCTTTTTGACAGTGTAGAT